CTGTGAAACCCGTATATGACCAAAGCTGATGCTCTTAAATTTCAATTTTTATGCATTTTTGCATTATATGCAAAAAAACATATTGTGACAACCCCAGTGTGTGTGTATGTGTGTGTGCGTCTGTTCGCGTGTTTCAACTCGGCAGCCAAGCAAGCTTCGGCGCTAAAATTTTGCGAGTGGGTTCCCCGGCTAAGTATCACCCCAGGACCGCGGTACCAACCCTCAAGCACGTCTAGGCCCCGCGTACGAGCGCCTCAAAGTTTTGGCGGGAAAATCGCTAACTTAGGAACCAGAAAAGCTAGAAAACTGAAACTTTGGGATTATGTTTCCAGTCCAAGTAGAACTCAAAGATTTCAAATTCAGCCCCCGGGGGTTCGTGGTTTTCGCGTACGGCCCCGTGAGGGTTCCTGCGTGAAAATCTCTAGCTCGGGAACCAAGAAAGCTGGGGGGCTGAAACTTACAGAAAATGTTCCTAGCTCATCTACAACTTAAATTTATCAAATTTAGCTGCCCGTTATGCGTCGTTGCAACGTTTGGCTCCGTGAAAGTTTTTGGCGTGAAAATGGCTAATTCCGGAACCAGGGAAGCTGGGAGGCTAAAACTTTCAGGAAATGTTCCCAACTCATCTGCAACTTAAATTTATCAAATTCAGCGCCCCGTTGTGCGTGGTTGCCACGTACGGCCCAGTGAAATTTTATGGCTGGAATATGGCTGGAATTTGGGTAACTCGGGAACTGAGAAAGCTGGGAGCCTGGAATTTCGAGGAAATTTTCCTTGTTCAATTATAGCCTAGATAATTAGCTTCCCGAAATTCGAGGACCAGTATGTACAAGAGATTTCTAGCTGGCGAAATTTCGAGTGACTTTATTACAGCACGAAACACTGCAAAAACGCATGATCGCACGGGCCCGCCTAGTGCGCGTCGCCAATGATTTAGCTTCCGTAGTTTGGAACTGAATCATACGTAAACAGGCCAATATGTACAAATAGGATCTCGCCAAAAAAGAGAATAGTTTCTACGGAAATGCTAAAGAAGAAAGGAAGTTGGTATGCTTTGAAGTGAACTACCTTTCACCACGTAGCTTCCAACTACAACAGAGATAACGACGATTAAAAAAGCGGACAAAATATGACAAAGTAGCAAAAGAGGCGCATTCGCATAACTGGACCTGGTAATTGCCTTGCGCAGTTTCGTATCGGCCAGAATCTGGGCGGCTAAATTCAGATTCGATATTGATTCATCATTCTTGAAATTATGTGCACTACAGGCAATAAATTTACATATTCGGGAGTTGCTTTTACAGATTGGCAAATCTTCGATAGCGGAATAATTTGGCGCACCGAGAATCGCCGCGTCTCGCTCGGCAGCTGGCTCGGACTGCAACTAAAATAATGCGTAAGTCAAATTTACGGATTGGGTAAAAGTCTGAATTTGAAAGAGAGTGCTACTTGCTCGACACACCATAAACTCATCTGCTCTTTTTATGTGTTTTTGCTGTGCAGCGCTATAGCAGCGCTATAGCGCTGCTACAGCCAGCAAATACGCATATTGTCGAGAGGCTGTGTGTGTA